CGTGGGGGGATCCTCTTGAGGACACTGTGACAATCTCAGGTTGTCAGCTTCATGCTTGGTGCGGACCGGGTATTGCACAAAACTGAAGATGAACAACTTGGAGCCGTAAGTACCTGCGGCATCGAAGCCGGAGCATCACTACACAGCAGGATCACGCAATATCACGCATCGCGTCGTGAGAAAACATGGTTTCAAGCGCTCTCTGTGTTGGGACTTGCATGATTGGCCCGTATCACCCCCACAACCTTACCGCTCTGCTCAGTCTGCGGCGTCGCCCTTTAGCTGGCCGGGAGCTGAAGGGCCAGACCTTGCCAGAGCCCCAGTTCAGCGAGCTCGAGCTTTCGAAACAGTCTATTCCTAAGCATCACGCCCCCGACCCTTCAGACATCTTACCATGCCGCTCTTTCGGCTTCCGGGAGTTCTCAGTCTGCCATGACCATGCTGCAATCAAACGCAACGAGTTTTGTTTGAGATAACCTTGAGCAAGCGTTCGACGATGACCAACGCCCTGCACCTCAGACCATCCAAAGCCTCCAACCTGAAACCCAGACCCGAGGGGACACTTTTGGTGAGGTGCGCTGATGTGTACAGAGAGAAATGAAGTTTGAGCTATTGCTGTAGGGCCGTCATAATATTGATGGACCATCTGACGACGTCTTCATCTAAGATGATGGATGGAATGCGATGCCTACCGTACCGGGGCTCTTGCATGTACCAATTTACCCCCATGAATCCTCGCCTGTGGACATTGATGCCAGCCATGCGAGAGGGAAAAAAAACCCAGACCCCGGAAACTCAGGTCCCGGCAACGGCCGAAGCTGCCCCGAGGTTCGGCGTCGTATCATGATTCCAAGCGCTTCTTGAAACTCATAAGTAGGACAGTAGGACATTGGGATACCTGCTCACGTGTGCATGTGAGGCTCCGTGCTTTGGAAAAACGTAGAGAGTTGCAGTCCGAGTTCAGAAAATCCCCAAGCTCTCACGGAAGTCCGATGTCCAGGGGAGCCGGCCCTTTGCTGCAGGCATCTGCAGGCCTTTGAAAGGCCCGGCATGGGTATGTTATCCTTCTGGGCAGATTTGAGGGTTCCAGGTTTTGATGCTCTGAGGTTCTTTCCGCTTCGTTTCTTGAAGGTCCTTGTCTGAAGATGTGTGCGGCAACCAGGCCTTGCTCGAGCAAGTGGCCGAGATGGGCAGCATGGACAGGCTCGGAAGGGTCCCAGCGTTTTCAACCAGATCGATACCAGCCCCGCTGGCTCGAGGAATCTCTCTTTTCGAAGCCACCGAGTGGACAAGCCCCACAGCACAGCACACACGTCTTGACGGACAAAAATGTGTGTAGTCGAATAGTGCTTGCTGGCATTCCCTGCCTCCATGCACGCAGATAGTAGGATAGTGAAGCCAGCCACACAGCTTTTGCTTCTCGGGTCCCAAGCGCAATGCAGCCGTTGTTGCACGTGTGCTGTGCTACGCAGGCCGGAGTCAATCCTCGCTTTCGCGGAAAAGGGGATCTCGTGGAGGGTGGCGTCCACCTGCTGATGATTGAGACGGTCTTCGACATGCAGAACTGCAAGGCGGCCATCTTGGCAGTGGACCAGTACTTCATCGAGTCGAAGAAGGAGCGGCTGCGAGTGATGCTTAGCTGATCGTGGACAACAGCGGCCGCACGCTCTCTGGCCAGACCATCGAGGCCGTCTACGTTAGTGTGAAGCATGCGCAGCCCTTCACGGTTGGCATGAACTGTGCCCTGGGTGCGGCTCAGATGAAGGGCTCCTACAAGAAGCTCTGCGACATGAACTCAGCCTGGTGCCACGTCTGCCCCAGTGCTGGCCTGCCTAATGCCATGGGCGGCTATGACGAAGACCCCGAGATCTTCTTTAGCAACATCCTGGACTGCGCCAAGGATCTCATCCTGAACTTCGTCGGTGGCTGCTGCGGCACCTTCCCTTCCCAGATCGCGGCTGTCTGCAAGTTGGTGAAGGACTGCCCAGTGCGCAAGCTTCCAGAGCTGCCCAAGTACCCCAGCATGATGTTGTCCGGCCTGGAGCCCTGCCACGTGACCGCTGGGGCAGGCTTCCAGTGGGTCGGCGAGCGATGCAACCTGATGGGCTCGGCCAAATTCAAGAAGCTGGTGGATGCCTACAAGTGGGATGAGGCCATGGCATGGAGGTTTGCATTTCTCAGTGCGAGAAGAAAGCGGACATTCTCGATTTCAACTTCGACTCGGACCTGATCGATGGGTAGTCGGCCATGAGCAAGTTCATGAGGCCAAGCTACCCTTCACGATTGACTCCTCCAAGTGGCCTGTGGTCGAGAAGGGCCTCCAATGCGTTCAGGCAAGTGCGTCGTGAATTCGATCTCACTGAAGGTCGTCGAGGAAGAGTTTCTTCGTCAAGCGAAGCTTTGCATGCGCTATGGCGCAGCCGTCGTCATCACGGCCTTCGATGAGAAGGGTCTGGCAGCCACCTTCGAGGACAAGGTTCGCATCTGCCAGCGCAGCTACAAGTGCCTGCGTGAGAACATCGACTTCCCCCGAGAGGATATCATCTTCGATTGCAACGTGCTGACCATTGCCACTGGGCTGCCGGAACACAACTCGTACCGCCGTCGGCTTCATTAATGCCCTGGCGGAGAACAAGCGCACCTGCCCATGCGTCTCCTTCTCCGGTGGCTTGAGCAACCTGTCTTTCTCTTTCCGCGGCTTGAACTCCGTCCGGGATGCCATGCACAGCGTGTTCCTCTTCCACGCAGTGCCCAAGGGCCTGAAATGGCCTGAACATGTCCATCGCGAACCCAGATGGTCTTCCCAGGTACGAAGACATTGAACCCAAGACCCGCGAAGAAGTGATTCTGAACAAGTCGGCGGACGGCAATCATGTCGAGCTCTTCCTGGAGTATGCGGAGCAGGTGAGGAAGCCTCCAGCTCCCGCTCCTGCTGGGCCTGTATTGAAGATCGAGAAATCTGCGGCAGCGGCAGAGCACTTTCCTCAGATTTTTTCTAGCCTTAAGGAGACAGTCACGTGTGAAGCTGAGCATGTTCAGCCGAAAGCCGGCTGCAAAGTCGTGGACCCCTGCCGTGTCGAAAGCCCTCAAGAGACCCAGAAGGTTGCCCAGAAGATCGAGTGCAAGACCCCAACACCCACGGAGGTGATCGACTACTTCAATGGTGAGTTGAAGAAGTGCATCTGCTTCCTGGATGGAGGCATGGGAACCCGCATCCAGGCAGAAAACTTGGAGGAAGCAGATTACCGTGAGGATCAGTTCAAGGACTTCAGCGAGAAGGATGCCAACGGCATCCCGTTCTCCCTGAAGGGTAATAACGATCTCCTCATTTTCAGCAAGCCAGACATGATCAAGGACAGCTCAGACATTGCGAGACAAACACCTTCAACGGCACGACCATCTCGCAGGGCGAGTACAAGATGCAGGCCGTTGTCCATGAGATGAACAAAGTGGGAGCACAGCTTGCGAAGAAGGCAGCAGCTGAGGTGACGAAGGAGGAGCCGCACAAGCCCCGATTCGTGGCAGGTGCAGTTGGGCCCACCAGCCGCACCCTGAGCGAGTCGCCCAGTGTGGAGGATCCATCCTTCCGCAGTGTGATTTGGGACGAGCTTGTGGAGTCCTACAAGCAGCAGGTGAGGAGTCTCGTCTCGTGGACGGTGGCGTCGACCTGCTGATGATTGAGACGGTCTTCGACACCCAGAACTGCGAGGCGGCCATCTTGGCAGTGGACCAGTACTTCATCGAGTCGAAGAAGGAGCGGCTGCGAGTGATGCTTAGCTGATCGTGGACAACAGCGGCCGCACGCTCTCTGGCCAGACCATCGAGGCCGTCTACGTTAGTGTGAAGCATGCGCAGCCCTTCACCGTTGGCATTAACTGTGCCCTGGGTGCGGCTCAGATGAAGGGCTCCTACAAGAAGCTCTGCGACATGAACTCAGCCTGGTGCCATGTTTGCCCCAGTGCTGGCCTGCCTAATGCCATGGGCGGCTATGACGAAGACCCCGAGATCTTCTTTAGCAACATCCTGGACTACGCCAAGGATCTCATCCTGAACTTCCTTTTGTGGCTGCTGCGGCACCTTTGTTTCCCACATCGCGGCTGTTCTGCAAGTTGGTGAAGGACTGCCCAGTGCGCAAGCTTCCAGAGCTGCCCAAGTACCCCAGCATGATGTTGTCCGGCCTGGAGCCCTGCCACGTGACCGCTGAGGCAGGCTTCCAGTGGGTCGGCGAGCGATGCAACCTGATGGGCTCGGCCAAATTCAAGAAGCTGGTGGATGCCTACAAGTGGGATGAGGCCATGGCATGGAGGTTTGCATTTCTCAGTGCGAGAAGAAAGCGGACATTCTCGATTTCAACTTCGACTCGGACCTGATCGATGGGCAGTCGGCCATCAGCAAGTTCATGAGGCCAAGCTACCCTTCATGATTGACTCCTCCAAGTGGCCTGTGGTCGAGGAGGGCCTCAAATGCGTTCAGGGCAAGTGCGTCGTGAATTCGATCTCACTGAAGGTCGGCGAGGAAAAGTTTCTTCGTCAAGCGAAGCTTTGCATGCGCTATGGCGCAGCCGTCGTCATCACGGCCTTCGATGAGAAGGGTCAGGCAGCCACCTTCGAGGACAAGGTTCGCATCTGCCAGCGCAGCTACAAGTGCCTGCGTGAGAACATCGACTTCCCCCGAGAGGATATCATCTTCGATTGCAACGTGCTGACCATTGCCACTGGGCTGCCGGAACACAACTCGTACCGCCGTCGGCTTCATTAATGCCCTGGCGGAGAACAAGCGCACCTGCCCATGCGTCTCCTCCGGTGGCTTGAGCAACCTGTCTTTCTCTTTCAAGCCCTCCGGGATGCCATGCACAGCGTGTTCCTCTTCCACGCAGTGCCCAAGGGCCTGAAATGGCCTGAACATGTCCATCGTGAACCCAGGTGGTCTTCCCAGGTACGAAGCCATTGAACCCAAGACCCGCGAAGAAGTGATTCCGAACAAGTCGGCGGACGGCAATCATGTCGAGCTCTTCCTGGAGTATGAAGATCGAGAAATCTGCGGCAGCGGCAGAGCACTTTCCTCAGATTTTGTCTAGCCTTAAGGAGACAGTCACGTGTGAAGCTGAGCATGTTCAGCCGAAAGCCGGCTGCAAAGTCGTGGACCCCTGCCGTGTCGAAAGCCCTCAAGAGACCCAGAAGGTTGCCCAGAAGATCGAGTGCAAGACCCCAACACCCACGGAGGTGATCAACTACTTCAATCATGAGTTGAAGAAGTGCATCTGCTTCCTGGATGGAGGCATGGGAACCCGCATCCAGGCAGAAAACTTGGAGGAAGCAGATTACCGTGAGGATCAGTTCAAGGACTTCAGCGAGAAGGATGCCAACGGCATCCCGTTCTCCCTGAAGGGTAATAACGATCGCCTCATTTTCAGCAAGCCAGACATGATCAAGGACATCCACAAGGAGTACTTCCTGGCTGGCTCAGACATCTGCGAGACAAACACCTTCAACGGCACGACCATCTCGCAGGGCGAGTACAAGATGCAGGCCGTTGTCCATGAGATGAACAAAGTGGGAGCGCAGCTTGTGGAGAAGGCAGCAGCTGAGGTGACGAAGGAGGAGCCGCACAAGCCCCGATTCGTGGCAGGTGCAGTTGGGCCCACCAGCCGCACCCTGAGCGAGTCGCCCAGTGTGGAGGATCCATCCTTCCGCAGTGTGATTTGGGACGAGCTTGTGGAGTCCTACAAGCAGCAGGTGAGGAGTCTCGTCTCGTGGACGGTGGCGTCGACGTGCTGATGATTGAGACGGTCTTCGACACCCAGAACTGCGAGGCGGCCATCTTGGCAGTGGACCAGTACTTCATCGAGTCGAAGAAGGAGCGGCTGCGAGTGATGCTTAGCTGATCGTGGACAACAGCGGCCGCACGCTCTCTGGCCAGACCCTCGAGGCCGTCTACGTTAGTGTGAAGCATGCGCAGCTCTTCACCGTTGGCATTAACTGTGCCCTGGGTGCGGCTCAGATGAAGGGCTCCTACAAGAAGCTCTGCGACATGAACTCAGCCTGGTGCCACGTCTGCCCCAGTGCTGGCCTGCCTAATGCCACGGGCGGCTATGACGAAGACCCCGAGATCTTCTTTAGCAACATCCTGGACTACGCCAAGGATCTCATCCTGAACTTCCTTTTGTGGCTGCTGCGGCACCTTTGTTTCCCACATCGCGGCTGTTCTGCAAGTTGGTGAAGGACTGCCCAGTGCGCAAGCTTCCAGAGCGGCCCAAGTACCCCAGCATGATGTTGTCCGGCCTGGAGCCCTGCCACGTGACCGCTGAGGCAGGCTTCCAGTGGGTCGGCGAGCGATGCAACCTGATGGGCTCGGCCAAATTCAAGAAGCTGGTGGATGCCTACAAGTGGGATGAGGCCATGGCATGGAGGTTTGCGTCGGCCAGTGCGAGAAGAAAGCGGACATTCTCGATTTCAACTTCGACTCGGACCTGATCGATGGGTAGTCGGCCATGAGCAAGTTCATGAGGCCAAGCTACCCTTCATGATTGACTCCTCCAAGTGGCCTGTGGTCGAGGAGGGCCTCCAATGCGTTGAGGGCAAGTGCGTCGTGAATTCGATCTCACTGAAGGTCTGCGAGGAAGAGTTTCTTCGTCAAGCGATGCTTTGCATGCGCTATGGCGCAGCCGTCGTCATCACTGCCTTCGATGAGAAGGGTCAGGCAGCCACCTTCGAGGACAAGGTTCGCATCTGCCAGCGCAGCTACAAGTGCCTGCGTGAGAACATCGACATTTCCCGAGAGGATATCATCTTCGATTGCAACGTGCTGACCCTTGGCACTGGGCTGCCGGAACACAACTCGTACCGCCGTCGGCTTCATTAATGCCCTGGCGGAGAACAAGCGCACCTGCCCATGCCGCGTCTCCTTCTCCGGTGGCTTGAGCAACCTGTCTTTCTCTTTCCGCGGCTTGAACTCCCTCCGGGATGCCATGCACAGCGTGTTCCTCTTCCACGCAGTGCCCAAGGGCCTGAAATGGCCTGAACATGTCCATCGTGAACCCTGGAGGCCGGGGCAAAGTACTCCGGAGGGGCCTCTCCCGCAAACGGACATGGACGAGAACGCTCGCAAGCTGGCGGAAGAGGCGCGCGGCTCCTTGTGCTGATCTCAGCTGGCTCGATCATGTGTTTCTCGCAGGTGATCCTGAAGCAGCCTGCAGATGGCACGCACGCAGGAAGCCTAGACACCAGCCTGCCCAGCTGCGGTATTTGCGGATCAGAACGTGCTGTCTTGCTGTCTTGGTCCTTGTGCCTGCAGGTCGAGCGCTTCCTGGAGCACGCAGAGGCCGACTCCGTGCTGTCTGTCTCAAAGGGTATAAAGGGTCCCAAGATATCTCACAAGACGGAACGCAATTTCGCACCAGAGGCTGTCCGCAAGCCTGCCACGACTGCGGGCGCTGCTGCAGGTGGTGCTCCCGCCAAGGCAGGCTTCACAAGTCTCAAGTCGCCTCGCAGCCAGCCAGAAGCAAAGGATGCCTGGCGAAATAGGCGAAATGGCACATTCACAGAGCGTCTGCACTACGGGCAGCGGCCTTGGCCAAGATGCTACGTCCCCGTCCCCCACAAGCATGACTCGTGTGGCATTGTGCAGGAGAGGCTGATCAACGGTATCGACAAGTTCATTGAGGGGGACACCGAGGAGGTCCGCTTTTATATCTGCAGGCTTGTGCCTGGCACCTTGACATGACGGAGACAGGCCCGGGCCGAACTGCAAGTCCCGCTGCGTGTCATCGAGGGGCCGCTGATGGAAGGCTCGCCCTCATGCGGGAGAGATCCGCTCAGCAGGGCAAGAAACCCGCGACTGGAAGTTCCAGGAGCTTTTTTTCACCTTTTCAGCCGGCCCAGCCGGCAGGCAGGCCTGTGGCTTTGCTTCACTCTCAACATCGCGAGTCTCTGCACCTTGCAGGTCATCAGGAGCGCGGGTCATGAAGCAGGCCAAGTGGCCAGAGATTGAAATCGAGTCTGCAAAACTTTCTGGCCGTCAGTGGTCGATGGGACGACACATGCTGACAGGCTGTGCGTGCTGAGGCCAGGTGAGGCCTGGCTCTTGGTTGGTGAACCTGGGTGATCGACATGGGTGTAATGGTGCCCTGGGGAAACATCCTGGAGAAGGCTGTCGAGGACGCACATGAGCCAGGAAGATGTGAGCACCGAGTAGATCTCGTAGCACAGATGCATGCGCAGCAAAATCGCAGGAGAAAGTGGATGTCATTGGACTTTCCGGGCCTGCCTCTCGGGCTTGACTTCTGGTGATTCGAGAAATCAGGCTTCGCGCCGAGGCTAATCACACCCTCCTTGGACGAGATGGTTTACGTCGCTGTCCGTGCCTGGACTGCTTAGTTGTCCGGATTTGCGATTTGCTACCTCATGCGAATCTCAGGAGCAGATGAAGGCGCGTGGCATGAAGGCGACCCACTGCGTGTGTCTTGCTGAGAATGGGGATGAATGGGGGGGATGTGCTGCTTTTCCTCGGGTGCCAGGCGCCGTTGATGATCGGTGGCGCCACCACAACGAATCGGCACACGGTGGGGCGCTCCATGAGTAGATCTTAGAAGACAACTTGGAACCCAGCACCATCAACGGCAACAAGGCGGTGAAGATCACTGCCAAGTACAACAACGGCGTGATTCACGTCGATACCTCGGGTCACAGCCGGCAGCCGTCCACCAGTAGCGTGGCATGCGCGTCGCACAGGTCCTGGATGCGAGCAGAAGCTGCACCGTCGTGAGTGCACTGATGCTGGCTTCTCATCTTCGCAGCTGTTCAGAGTGCAAACAGCCTGAGCTGTACCACAGGTATGTCCAGGGCATGTCAGCGTCACAAACGGCAGGGGGACATGAATTGGAAAGTCAGAGGCCGTTTCTTTGCTGGATCCTCAAACCGTGGATCGCAGACGTGAACCCTGTCGCGAGGAAAAGCAATGGCCGTAGAACGAGTTCCTGTGGCAGTTTGCGGTAGTCATCCTTGTATCTTCTCTTCATGCAAACTCCGTGAAGCCATGCGCGCGCATTGCCTCGGCTCGAGTTCTGCTCTTTGTGGCGTGTGCCTGTGTGCTCTTGGACTTCAACTCCCTTTGTCTCCAGCCTCGAGGACTGCAGAACAGCATGACCTCGGCCGCGAAGACGCGTGTGGCTCTCGTGGGATTGGGCAGCGCTGGCCTTGTCCACCTGCAGTCTGTGGTGCAGCTGCCGCACACGGTGCAGCTGTCTTGGGTGGTGGACATCGATGAGAGCAAGGCCCAGCGCATTGCTGCGGAACACGGGTGCCGTTGGTCCACAGATCTGGGTGAGGCGCTCGCCGACGTGGATGCAGTGATCATCGCCTCTTCGACGGACACGCGCTTTCCTTGCATTATGGAGTCCCTACGGGCCAACAAAGCCGTCCTCACCGAGAATCCCATCTCTCACAAGCTTCACGAAGTGGTGGAAGCAGTGGAGTTGGCAAAGAGGCGGAACCTGGCTTTTGTGTGCGGCTGCCAGCGCCGAGCCGACCGGCATTTCCGGACGCTGAAGCAACAGCTCGACGCCGGTGCAGTGGGCAAGATGAAGTTGGTGAAGACCTGCAGCCGCGACAACCCACTCCCGCCACTGGAGTATCTTCGCACCAGTGGTGGAATCTTCCGCGATATGCTGATTCACGACTTCGACATGCTCGACTTGTTGAGCAACGGCGAAGAGCCTGAATCCGTAACGGCCATCGGGCATTGCTACAACTCGGAAATCCAAGAGATGAATGACATCGACACCTGCGCAGTCATGTTCAAGTATGCCAGCGGCACGATGGCCATGGTTGACGCCAGCCGCGATGCATCTTACGGCTGCGACCAGCGCATCGAGGTCTTCGGGGAGAACGGGATGTTGACGGCCCGCAGCGAACTGACCAGCACGGTGGAGCTGGCCACCAGCGCCGGGCACCTGCGACCGCCGGCCATGTACAGCTCCTCGCAGCCATACCTCCAGGCGTACCGATCCGAGCTCACGGAGTTTCTCGAGCTCGTGCGCGCTGGAAGCGACAGCGAGGCGCAGGCGAAGGAGCAGGTCGCCATGCTCCGGCATCCTCGCGTGGTCCGTGCCACACTGGCCGCAGAGCTGTCGTGGAAGCTTGGGCGCACGGTGCAGCTTGCAGAGCTTGAGGCGAAGAGCAGGTTCGGCGACAGCTTCCGCAACTGTGGGAACTCTGAGCGCCAGGAGAAGGTTGCGGCCACTTACGGCTCGATGCAACAGAATCAGACAGTGGAGTTCGTTCGGGAGCAGCGGGAGGAATGGAGGAAGTCTGACAAGGGAGACTGCACAGTGATGGAGCCGATTTCCATGCTGGACGACTTTGATCCCGATGTGGACACCCCCAAGAGCATTCATGACTTCCCCAACCCCTGCTCGGGGGACACCTTGCCGGTCGGGTGCGCGCCTGCAGAGGATACAGTCGTTTTTTTGCTGGATCAGGCGGGTTGCTGTTCGCATCACTGTGACTGCGGCTGGGTCGGCGGCATGTAATTTGCCTGCAGGTTCCTGCGGCTGTTGAAATCGTTGCGCACACTTCTGCAGCTTGGACCAAGTTTTTCGCCGGACTGCAGAGAGCCCTTATGCCACATCTTCTTGCCGTGAGGCATGTGCGTCCTGCTCACGTCTTGATAAAGGGCTTTGCTTCCCAAGTCCTTGCAAGGTGCAAATCTCAGCAGATGCGCAGAATCTGCCAGTCCTCCTGAGCGGCAATGCAGCTGACTTGAAGAGCCACGAGGACGCAGGTATGCAGGCTCGGCAGGCCTCTTAACGTGATTCCATGGAGGACGAGAACGACAGGCTCGTCGTAAAGTACGAGGCTGGGACCGCGCTTGCAGCAGCCTTTGCTGTCCGTGCGAAGCTGCGAGCGTCGAACCGGACTGCAGTCATTTTGCTACCACTCTTGCCTGCCAGTTTCTGGGCCTTCGCTGCAGGAGACCAAGTCAAAGGCAACACCTAAGAAACAGGCCGAGGAGCTAGAGGAGCCAAAGCCACAAGGCCGGGATCAAGACTTTAGGCTTGGCGTCTTGGCCCACTGGTCTGCGCCACCAGGCAAAGGAAGCGGAAAGGCTAAGGCCAAGAGCAGAGTGCCACCCTTGGGCAAGAAAGGGTCGGCATGTACTTTGTCATGTCTTCGTGTCAGGGGCTCGTTGCGTATAAGTGCGGAAGACAGGCCCCCACGGATGAGACGATCGAGGCAAGTGACCTTGCACTTCATGCTCTGATGTGCTCTGCACCAACAGTTGAATTGCATCTGCCTTCATCCTGTGTATCACACATGTGTGCCTTGCGGTCGCGTCCGGGCTAAGAGAGCAGGCCGCCCCAGAGACGACCAAGGCAAGTCACGCCTGCGTGCTTTGCGCAGCAGCGCAAGTCCTGCCTTTGCGATGGAGGACTTGGCGGCCAGCATGTCAGCAACCGCCGCCGCCAGCACTGGAAGGAAGGAGGAGCCGGTGGTCGCCCGCGGTCACATCGGTGGTCGAGTGATGCCTTTGGCAACTGTGCAGGCACTTCAGTCAAACATCAAGCGTCTGGAAGACCAGCGCTCACGGCTGAAGGGGTCCGCTTTGGGTGTGAAGCGGACCCGGAAAAGCCTCACGGAGACCATCAACGGCCTCAAAGACCAACTTCGACTGTTGGTCGGCTGCCCTTCCCCAGCGGCCCCTGTCCCCAGCCCGCCTCTCGGTGTTGCGCGTCTTGTGTTGGATGGCTGTTCAGCTGGACGGTTTCAGCCTGTCTCGCTTTTGTGTTTGTGGTTACTTGACTCTTTTCTCCGTAGCGCAGTATCCGGAAGGAAGCGCGACATCGAATGGGCCCCATTGCCTTCGAATGGTTTAGGAAGTCTGAGGATGCAGTTTGCGTCGTCTGGCTCACGGGTAGAGCTCCTCAAACAGACTACTGCCAAACTCGTCCCCGGGAGCGGGTCCACTAGTATTGGAGACTGAATTAACTTGGGTGACTTGAGGATGCAGCTGGCATCATCAAGCTCACTGATGATTGCAGGCAGACTGGTCCCACGCAACAGGGCCAACTGAACACCAGGCCCACTGCCGAACAGTACTTGGAAATGATTTACTATCGCCTCGCGCAGTGGAGTCAATGGAACAATTTGAGCGGCCAGAGGACACAGCTTGCATCATCTGGCTCACCGGTCAACAGAAGCAAAATCAAATGTACAGTTGAGTTTCACTGGAACGATTTGAGCCACTCTTTGATGAAACCTCCCGTCATCGCGCGCCTGGTGAGAATCAGAAATTTCGCGTTCCAACAAACATGTGAAGGGATGTGTCACCGTTTGATTGGTGTTTCTAAGCAGGAGTGCACCGCCTGACCATAGCGAATCAGCGGGGAGTGCGAGCACTGGACGAAGCACGCTGTGCGAGTGTGCTGTTGAGCGCCGCGAGTCTGAGCCAAAGTGCGAGTGATTAGAGCGACTAGATGCAGTGGCAACTAGTACATGAACGGGAGACTTTTGGCGACAGTCAGCCAAAGAGCAAGGGAGCACAACGCCGTGTGTGAGAGTGGAGCGAGCACCCGAAGCAAGAGTGAATTTGCGCAGCCAGTAAGCGGAACTCTATCGAGTGGCTCTCATGTGCTCTGGCCTTGGTTTGATCCGCTCGTTCAATTGGTCCTGTCGTCTTTCTCCCTCCGCCGTGCTGTCGTCTTTCTCGCTCCGCCGGGTCCACGGGCTCCGCTCCAGTCCCCTACCACCTGTTTAGCTGCCTGATAATGCCGATGGAACCGTATTACATACACACACACACACACACACACACACACACACACACACACACACACACACACACACACACACACACACACACACACACACACACACACACACACACACACACACACACACACACACACACACACACACACACACACAACACCCACACACACACACACACACACACACACACACACACACACACACACACACACACACACACACACACACACACACACACACACACACACACACACACACACACACACACACACACACACACACACACACACACACACACACACGCACTCACACGACGTTTCCGTGCACACCTAAACCAGTCAGCGCACATAGAGAGAGAGAGAGAGAGAGTAGATGTGTCGAACCATGCAGACGAGAAACCCTGACAATTTAGAGTCCAATATATATATATATATATATATATATATTCGTTGCCAATCAGGGGGACTCGCTGCTTCGTCACGCCTCTCTAAAAACCCCATAACATATGGGGGGCCCATGCGGCCGAGGGGCCTAACACGCCCTTCAAGCCCAGAGGAAGAAGAGAGAGAGAGAGAGAGATAGAGGGGGGGAAGTCTGCGACCTTGCCCTCAGCTTTCGCCACAAAAAGAGGGAGTGCTGGAGTGAAACATTGACATGTTTTTGATTGTAGACGATTCGTTGCAGTTTGTGTTTGGGTTCCGGTTCTTATTGCCAAATTTCGTTTTAATGTGGCGGGTACTCTTCCGTGGGTGGGGCTTACGGGGCTTACCAGCAGACCAAACCCAGGTCCCATGGACCATTGGACAGCGCACATCCAACAGGACGTTGGGGTGTTGGCCGCGGCAGGCTACGAGGTCGAGTCCGTGGCTGGGGACGGAAACTGTCTTTTCCGTGCGACGCTCGCCTCAAAGTTCAGCGAGCTGGCACCGATGTGTATCCCCTGCAGGGTGATTTGTGTGGGCGTTGTGTGTGTGTGTGTGAGAGTGCTTGCATGTGTCAGGGTTGGTTGTCAAGTGGGAGACGGCCACGCCGCTGGATGTTTCATCAAGAATGACTTTGATGTTTTTTGCTATGTTTGTTGCTTGGTTGAGCCGCTGCGGTGAGTACGTTAGTTGGCTTCAGGAGACAGCTCGCATGAAATGCGTCTCGTACTTGCGGCAGCATGTTGAGCGCTACAGGGGCTTTGTTGCGACTCGGCGAGATGACTATGCATAACCGTGGTGTGTTCATATTCCCAGACAGAATCACAAGCATGTGCAGTTGAAGTCTTGTGCCCAGGCAGGTGACTTCGAGGCTTACTGCAGAGACTTGACTTCCCTGCAAAAGAGCTTCCACTCTTGACTTATATGTGGCTTGTTGGATACTCGTATCTGGTAAGGACGCATGGAAAAAGTTTCTACCTGGGGCACCCACTTGGAGGTGTGTTGCCTTCTTGCGCCGCCGGGCCCGCAAGCAGACTTCAACGTTCACGCATGGCAGGCTGACGTGCTGGCCACCCTCTACGATGTGCGGGTGGCAACCTGAACCGCAGGTAATGCGAACTATGCGAGCCACAATCTCAAAGCATGTGCCATCACACAGGTTTGAGTGACGTCGCGAGGATGCTGCTTTGCGTCATCGGGCTCACTGGTCAACAAGACCTACAAAACCCAACGACCCGAAGCAGTTTACTTTCAATCTTGTCCCGTGCAGCGGGGCTACTGGAAAGATTTCATTTGACGTCAAAACTCCGTTTGCACGAGCGAGAGAAACTTAAACTACTGACCGTCAGCCTCGTCCCACGCAGCAGGGGTTGGAGTGGCCTGAGGATGCAGCGTCGCGTCATCAGGCTCAAGTGGTCAGCAAACCACAATTTGTTATGTGTGCCGTCACAACGCGGTTTCAGTGACGCGAGGACGCAGCTTTGTGTCATCGGGCTGGCTGGTCAACCAAAACCCGAAACAACCACGAACATGTTTACTTTGATTTGCTGGGGTGTTTTGCAGCGTGTTGTCTTCATGCTAGGGAGATCCGAAGGGGTGTTTCGTGTTGCGTCACGCTGGGAGTGTGCTTTGCTGGAGTAGCATGCACTTCTCTGGAGGCGTTCAACGCAGAACACGAGAACACGTGTGTCTGGCCATTCGTTTTGAAGCTTGCTACGGCAATTGTCCTCATCGTCGTCAGGCAATCTTCCAAGTCTCTGGTGCCAATGTGTCCAGATTGACGGTGGGAGACTCCTGCCGGACTATCGGGCCTCTTGGATTTTCAGGCTTGTGGGTTGTGCTGTTCAATGTCCTTTTGTTGGGTGCCCGAGCAGCCATTCAAGGTTGTCCCACCACGAGCGTGGGTCCGACTCACACTTCAATGTCCTCAGGACTTTCAAGGGTTGGTATGTATCTGTCTGTATGTGTATGTATGTGTGTGTGTGTATGTGTATATATGTCCATTTTACATAGGTCCAGGTGTGTGTATGTATGTATGCCTCTGCATAAATGTAGATACGTGTGTTATAAAGACTGTGTCGATCACTCTGTCAGAGCTTTACGGCCTCCCTTATCGCTACGTGCTGGGTCTCGATCGGTATGCATTTTGTAGAGTCCTGAAGCCAACAGTGCAGGGTTGCCGAGTGGAAGATGGGCTGCTGGGGAGCTTCATTTTTCGTTCACATGGCTGGAGGAGCCGGGGATGCCACCCTCTTTGAGAGTCTGAGCCTGTCAGCATGTGTCGTCCCATCGGCCACTGACGGCCAAACTGCGTTGCAGACTCGATTTCAATCTCTGGCCTCTTGGCCTTCTTCATGACCCGCGCGCTCTTGATGACTGCAAGATGCAGAGACTCGCGATGTTGAGAGTGAAGCAGAGCCACAGGCCTGCGGCAAGAACATCTTTCCGGATCCGAAAAGGTCTCCGATCATGCCCATGCCAATCCAAAGTCCAAACAGCACTCGGCCTTGTTGAAGGTGGTTTTTATGAGTTTCAGCTCCCTTGCTCAGCCCGTACAGGTTTCGTTCGCTGCCGGTACGCCGACTAATCGTGGACGAAGCACAAGAGACACCGCCAACAACCCTCACGAAAAGGCAGATATGGGTACCCATATGCTTTTGCGGAACTCGAGGCTGCGATGCTTGAGCTCCATGCTGAGCTCTGCGGGATGTCTATGACCTCAGCAGGCCGACAACAACATCTCTTCCTTGAAAACCAGGGTAATAAAGAAGTGGCTGCCGCAGAAGCCTCTAACACTGCGCTCGG